GCCGAGCCGCCCCCGGCCGATGTCTCCCTCTGATTTCCTGGACAAGCTGATGGGCCGGACATCAGGGTACGATGCTCGCATCAGGCCCAATTTCAAAGGTAAAGTGTGGTTTGGCTGCTGGGCCCCTGCGAGATGACTTGGATTCATTTGGACTAGCTGCTTCACCCTATGGAAGTGAAATGAGGCTCTGCACTAAGGCAGAGAGAGCTTTCACATCCCCTCTTCACCTTGATAGGGGCTTGCAGCTGCCGGAAGAAACTTCTGCACGTGCAGCAGGGCTTCCGGGAGCTGGCAGGGCCAGATGAGGCCTCGGAAGAGGGGTGAAGCTATGTGGCTGCTTTGCTTCGCTCTGAAAAACGAGAGGGCGTGTTGCTTCACCAAGCACCTTCCAGGGAAACGTCCCTTGATTTTTCATGGAGGGGAGCACCCTTTCAAAGAGCTGCTTGGCCCAACTATCCACAGCCTTTGCGTCGTCTTCACCTTTTCCTGTCAGGGCTGAAAAAGATGCTACTAAAGCATGATAACCTGGAACAGAAGAGCTCACCACGAGGCAGTCCCAACCATGAGAGGTTGGGGGGTGGAATCAGTCTTCCCATGGGGAGCAACTTAGGAAGATGCTGTGTGTGGCTGAGAATGCAGTTGGGCTTCATGGCATGGTGGTGGGTCAGCTGCTTGACAGGTAGAAAGATCTGGGTTTCATCCTTGTTGATCCCCAGGAAGGAGGTCCCAGGGAGGCTCCTTTGCCTGCAGTTCCTTTGGGGAGCTGCGGGCATTAGGATGTTTACATGGCACTAGATTTATGAGGGGCAGGAGTCTCTGCATTCAGAAGACCAGTGGCCTGACTTTCCACAGAAGAGTCTTATGGGTTCCCCACCTCAAGGAAGTTACATAGAAAAAAGTGGCTTATAAAAAAGGCAACTGAGGGAAGATGTGATCGAGGTGTAGGAAACATGGATGACATGGTGAAAGTGGACAGAGGGAAGTTGGTTTTCTCCATCTCTGAAAATTAGAACTGGAAGCCTCCCAATAAAGCTGACTGGAAAGAGATTTATGACAGACAAAAAAAGAGAGGACTTTTTCCTTCAATACATCATTAAGCTGTGGAATTTATTTTCACAAGATGTGGTGATGGCCACTAGCTTCATACAGGGGATAAATTCATGGATGGTTGTCAGAGGAGATTGAATAAATTCATGGAGTATTGGAAGGCTCCATGTTTAGTCTGGGTTGGGGTTTTGAAGGCTCCATGTTCAGTCTGGGTTGGGGAGCAGTCCCCCAAATATCAACTACAGGAGAAGGGGGAGGGGGAGGGAAATGTCTACTGCTTGGAAGCACTCCAGAAGCATTTGGTTAGCCCCTGTAAGAAACCACATGCTGGACTCTGATGGTCCTTGGTCTGATCCGGCAAGACTGTTCTTATATTCTTATCTGGTTGAAACCTGTCATCAGACTTGGTAGAGGCCAGGTCCATAATATGCCAGGCATAATATGCCAGTCATGTGTCCTTTTCTCATTTCCTTACAGGCCCACCTGTCAACGTGACATGCAACATCTTCATCAACAGCTTTGGTTCAGTCACAGAAACTACCATGGTAAGGCTTAGCCCACCCACCCTTCTCCCACACCTTTCTGAACCTGAACCCTGCAGCACCTTCAGCCCCTAGAAACTGCAGCAGAATGGCTTGGCAGGAGCATGGCTGACAGTCCCAACTATCCCTGAGCGCTGTGCCTTGAGGGCTGTTACAGGCTCATAAATGGAGACCAATGCAGTCAAGGGTCTGGTGCAAGCGAGGGACTAAGGGGCAACAGCAACTAAGGGAAGCAGCAAAATAACAGCCCTGTGGCTGGTCCACTTCCGCTCCTTGCAGCTCTACCTTCTGAGCCACTCTCTGCTGCCTCAGTCAGGCCCATTTCCTTCTTACAGTGCTTGGCTGCCATTCTTGTCAGAGATGCCCAGCTGAGCACACATAGGCCTTCTCTTGCCTTGCCTCCACCGTGACAGCTTCCCTTGGCTCTTCCAGGATTACCGTGTCAATGTCTTTCTGCGGCAGCACTGGAATGACCCCCGCCTGACCTATTGGGAATACCCTGACGACTCTCTGGACTTGGACCCCTCCATGCTGGACTCTATCTGGAAGCCGGACTTGTTCTTTGCCAATGAGAAGGGGGCCAACTTCCACGAGGTCACGACAGACAACAAGCTTCTGCGCATTTTCAAAAATGGGGGCGTGCTGTACAGCATCAGGTACCAGCATCAACAACATCTTGCTTAGCCTAAATACACAAGGTGTGGTTCCGCATGGTCCCTGCTTAACTCCATCCTTTTTCTTCCCCATAGGCTGACTCTTATCCTCTCTTGCCCTATGGATCTCAAGAACTTCCCTATGGACATCCAGACATGCACCATGCAGCTGGAGAGCTGTGAGTAGTTTTATCAGCTGTAGCACCAACAGAGTCCTTGGTGCTGTACATAAAGCTACAGCTGCTGTACTTGCAGTGTACACTTGACAGGCAATGGGGATTCGTTGGAGGTACAAGGAGTAGCAGGCTGGTTCACACAATGTGATTTACCAGGCTAGGCCTAGGGCCGAATTTGCACAATATGCTAAGCTTCATTGGTAGTAATCTTGGATCTTTGTTGTGGCTGAACTATTCTGTGTGGTTAGTGTATTGCACAAACTCAGAAGATGGGTTACTGCCATAACTGGTTGAGGGTAGCCACAGAGTCCCAGATGGTTCAGTAAGGAGAGACCTGGAGGGCCCAACAGAAAGTACCGAGCAACAAAAGATGGAGCCGGAGGCAATGTTACCTGGGTATGTCAACCCTCATGAGCAGCGGAAGGTCAGCTGGATGTCAGTCATCTACACTGGAGGAGCGAAGGTGTCGGGGGAGATGGAGCTCGACCATCTCCGACAAGGGAAGCGGCTGGGTTTGTGCAGAGTGGAGGATGGCTCTGTTCCGCCCACCTCTTCGGCTCCTCGTGCTCCTTGTCTTTGCTTACCTTGCAGTTGGCTACACCATGAATGACCTGATCTTCGAGTGGGAGAAGGAGCAGGAGGCTGTGCAGGTGGCTGATGGCTTGACACTCCCTCAGTTTATTCTGCGGGATGAAAAGGATCTGGGCTCTTGCACCAAGTCCTACAACACAGGTGACCAGACTGCTCTGGTGGGATGTGGCTCATTGCTTCTCCCAGTGCTGGAAAGACCCCATTTGCAGACTGCCCCAAGAACTATTATGACACTGTCGTCTTTCATTCACTGCCCGGGCAGGCATACAATATGAAACAATACATACAGATCACACAAAAAAACACCCAGAAAAAATAGTGACCAGTTTTTGACAAACCAAATATCCCGTAAGGGGTCCGCCACCCACTCTAGCCCAAGGCCTGGGGAAAGAACCAGGTTTTAAGGGCTCATTTAAATAAGGTCAGGTTGCGGGCCACGTGAGACCAGAGGGTCTCACACCCAGTCATCTGCAGAGTAGAGCCTACGAAAGCCATTTAAGTCTCATGGAGGACGGTTGGCACTGCACCCTATTCTGGGCTCGTGGCTGGTGCCAAACCCAAAACCCAGGTGGGCACATCTGCAGAAGGGGATCTCCTCCCTCCAGGTCCACCCAGGTCTCAGTCATACACATCAGGTTGGCTGCCTCACCCACAATCAGACTGTGGATAAAGGTGGTCTGCGGCATGCTGACCCGGCGTTCCGTAACAGCAGCTGGATCCCGGGACCACCACGGATTCCATCAGCTGCCTTCAGGAGGAACACTGAGGGCTGGAGAGTGGAGCAGGCCTTAACCCCCAGCCCTGCTACTCCCACCCTCAGCTCCTCACTATCTCCCTCGGCTGTCATGGCTTGGACAGAACTATCTGTCCTCTTCTCTCCCCGACTCCCCCCCAGGTTGCGGAGCACATCTATCACTCTCCCCCATGACAACCACAATACCTTCCCCAGCTGCTCTGCCAGGGGAGTAAAACATTGCTTTGGCGCACTAATCAACACCCCCCACCAGCATCCATCCATTGCTGATCACCCCCGTCCCTGTTGGTGTCTCTCCTGTGCTTTCCAGAGGCATGGGGGGCCCTCAGCTGCCTGCCTGCCTGCCTGGAGACTGGCCCCGCGGGAGGTGGGCTCTGCTGCGGCTCATCTTCCATCTTCCTCTCTTCCAGGGCAGTTCACCTGCATTGAGGTGAAGTTCCACCTGGAGAGGCAGATGGGCTACTACCTGATCCAGATGTACATCCCCAGCTTGCTGATTGTCATCCTCTCCTGGGTCTCCTTTTGGATTAACATGGATGCTGCACCAGCCCGGGTGGGGCTTGGCATTACCACTGTGCTGACAATGACCACCCAGAGTGCGGGCTCCCGGGCATCCTTGCCAAAGGTCAGGGCCCACGGGCAGGGGAGCCTGGAGCACCTTCCAGGACGTGAGCCCTGGACAGGCAGGAAGTGCTCCCCAGTGTTCGTATCCAGAGGTGGGAGGGTACTGTGCCATAGCAGAGCCCTACAGCAGTTCTTCACATGCTCAGTTAGCTCCTTTATGCTGCTTCCAGCTGCTTCCTCAAAGCACAACATGAAAGTATGCAAAGTAAGGATCATAAGTACCTCTGCGCACTTTTACCGAACTGAAGGAAGGGGCATTAGGTTTCTCACACATTTCATTCTTTGCCACCCCTCCCTTTGGAGCACAAGTCATTAAGTTCAGACCACAGGAGGGTTGCCCTGGTAATAGACAACCTTCCCTTCCCTCCACGTGTCCTTGGGGGAGCCAGGATAGGAAGACACATGCCACATTCCCAGTGGCTGCCAGGAGAGCCAGGCCGCCTCTGGTGCTGCTGGTGGCAACCCTCTGTGGCATCTCCAGAAGCCTGCTACAAAGCACAGGCATGACCGTTTGGAGTTACCCCTCTTCTCTGTGCTGTGGCACTGTGCATGGACACAAGGCGCTGCTGTGCCTCTTGTAAAGCAAACGATGAGGAACCAGCCTCCTGCCTCTGCCCTTTAAGGCAAATCGCATCAATGGGGGTATTTCCAACTGGGTAAAAAGGATGGAGGTAAGTTTTAGATGCCCAGCACAGCAGGCCCTGTAAGAAATCTCTCCCACTGCTGTTTCTGTCTTTGGTTGCCAGCAGGAGGAGTCCTTCCTAGATCCCAGTCCCACCTGGGTCTGAGCATTCGCAAAAGCTAAGCTTGTGAAGAGAGGTTCCATCTCCTCCTCCTCCAATGCCGGGGAGCCCCCCCCATCTTTCCTAGCACATGCATCTGTTCAGGTGGCTATTAATAGTTGCCAGAGGAAAAGGCCACTGGTGGATGCTACACCTTTGGCAGGTGGCCGAGGGGTCTTATTAAGCAAAGTCAGATGCAAGCTGGGAAGGGGGAGACTCAACCCTCGAGCGTGAGTGCGCACTCGCCCACCCAGGGCAACAGACTTGGAGGCAGCCAGTGGGTGCAGGAGACGGCTGATGTCGTCTCGCCCTCCTGTTTGTCCAAAAGCAGCTGAGGTCCCCGCAGACCCTGCTCCGCTTCGCTTTCCAATGGCGCTGTCCCTACCTGGGGTGCTGAACTGGAGCAAGGCAGCTGCCCTTGGCACAGGGAGGCCACAGGGGCCCTGCGCGGTCCGTGCAAGGCAAGCCAAAGCCTACCAAACATTCATCTCAGGAGAACCATCGAACTCCGGGCACCTTTAGGCCTGTGTGGCATCAGGGTCGGTGTCATGCCTCGCCGTGCCAAAGGAGAAGTACCCGTAGAAAGCCTTTGGGTGTGCTGTGGGAGGCTACGATAGAAGCAGGGCTGCCAAGAAAAATGTGAAGTCTGTACCATTGGAAGCAACGCTGAAGCTGGGGAAGGGGCCGTCTTAGGCACAGCCAAGAGGGCTTGCTGAATTGCTTTTCCGTGCCCCTCTCCTCGGCAGGTCTCCTATGTCAAGGCCATCGATATCTGGATGGCTGTCTGCCTCCTGTTCGTCTTTGCTGCCTTGCTGGAGTATGCTGCAGTCAACTTTGTCTCGCGCCAGCACAAGGAACTCCTGCGTCTGCGGCGGAGCCAGCGGCGGCAGCGGATGGTGAGCAAGAGTGGGGGCTTCTGATGGGGAGGTCCAGCGCTCCCAGATGTGCGTCTGGGACTGGCTGGAAAGGAGGGGGTAGGTGGGAGAAGCACCTGCCAAGCCAAGCCAAGCCAAGCCAAGCCAAGCCAAGCCAAGCCAAGCCAAGCCATCCTCTTCTGGGTAGTCAGTTAGAAACGGCGGTCATTTCTGAGAGCATCTCTTAAAATAAATGGCACCTTGAACAACTTCAAACACCTTTCCTCTTTCAGGCTGGCTTCAGTTTTGCTCTTCCCTTGTTTTGCCACTTGCCCAGCTGCAGGATGCTTGGTTGAATCAGTCCAGGAAGGCAGCTTGCTGGGCAGCCCCTCCACTTGGATGCCAGCTGGGAGGGCGAGGGGGCTTCCCCTTGGGGACCCGCAGGTCCAGCTTCCCTTGGGGACCCCCAGGTTCAGCAGTCTCCACCAGGAGAGTTGGGCTGCCCTCTAGTGCTTGATAAAGCCGCTGCAGGCCCCAGTTTAAAGCAAAACCCTTTGCCAGCCTCTCCGTGGAGAAGGGTGTCCAGTTTTATATCCAAGAAGGAGCTGTGCTGAGCTGAGCAGCCCCAGAGCAGAGCCCCCAATCCATCGCCCGTCCTCAGCTTGACACAGAAGGTGGGATTGGCATTCAGAGGCCAGGTGGGAAACTTGGAGGTGTTCAAGACCAAAGCCTTTGAAAGCTGCCCAGCAAGGGTTCAAGCAGCTGAGCACTTTGGGCTCAGTAGGCAGTCTGGAAACGTGATAAACTCAGTAGTATCTTGAGTTGTCCATATGATGCAGAACAGTCCCCCGCTGCCCTTCTCTGTTCCAGACTGGAAGGGAGATGTGCAGGCAACCTAGGCCAGTTCCCCTCCCTGCTGGGTGCTGTCTCCTTGCTGCTGCCCCCCCAACACTGCCCCACAAGGCAGCAAGGATACAGAATGGCACATGCATCTAGAATACCAGCATAAAAGGAGGAGTATGTGAGGAAAGTGCTTCCTCTGGGGACATCAGACATGACGTCTCGATGCTAGTAATTGTGACCCACTCACAGAGATAACAATTCTGCCTGGAACATGGACCTGGGTGACTTGCAACCAGACATGTGTCCCGGCAGTGCAGAGATAGAACCGTAGAGGCATAGGGAATGGCCTTGAAGGACAGGAGGAGGAGCTGCTACCAACGTAACAGTCAGATAAGAGTGGCTTGAGCCCAGGCCAAGAAAATATCTTGAGAAAACATCCCAGAGAGCCCCCCAGCTAGTTCACCCAAAGATAAAGTGAGGGAGGGGAAGGCACATTCAGCCTTGAAAGATTCTGTCACTACAGCTGTTCCAATAAAAGTAGTTCTGACCTACAGGGTTTTGGTTTCTTAGCCTGGTCTACTTGGAAGGGCTGACAACCCTTCTTCTTCCCTCCTTCTCCTCTGCCTCCCTCTCTCCAGGAAGAGGAGGTGGTCCGTGAGAGCCGTTTCTACTTCCAGGGCTATCGCCTGGGCCATTGTCTGCAGCACATGAAAAGTGGGGGAGCCACGGAAAGCCCCCTCTACAGTCCGCCCACTCTGGCCTCACTCCTGCGAGAAGGAGAAATGCTCCGGAGACGCTACCTGGATAGGGCCAAGCGGATCGACACTGTCTCCCGAGCTGCCTTCCCTTTCACCTTCCTGGTGTTCAATGTTTTCTACTGGGTGGTCTACAAAGTGCTTCGCTCCAAAGATGCCCACCAAGCAGCCCCTTGAGCTCTGAGCAGGACTTAGCAACCAGGTCAGCAAGTATTGCTGGTTGCCTCCTTCTTAGCTCCTGGACTCAAGAACACAGGGACACTGATTGCTTTCCCAAAGCCTCTCCTTAGTGTTTTGTGGACATGATATATAATTTTATGCCATGCTGAGAGACTTGACAAACTTCGCATGGTGCTCAGGAGTGCAAAAGAAAGGCATGGTTAATGTGCCCACAGCTGAGCATTATAGGATTTGGGGTGGCCATATTTCATAGGGAGCTTTGATCTGTTTCAGGAGGACCACTGTCTCTCCTAGATTTGTGCTGCTCCCCTTGCAGACCAGGAAGCCTTGGGAGAATTATAGAAGAGATAAGTAGAAGAGAAGGTCTAGGTCATCCAGTTCACCCCACCTGCCCAGGGCAGGAATCTGCTAAACTCTCCCTTGCAGCTGGCCATCCAGCCCCTCTTTGAAAACCTCCAGTGAGGGGAGCACATCCCTGCACAGACTTTTCCATGGCTTTGCAGCCATTCCCAACAGGAAACCCCTCCTCGCATTGAACTAAGTCTCCACAGTTTCAAAGGCGAGCTGGTCACCCTCTCTTGCAGATGACAGGCTCTGTGGACTGCTCAAGCTGAACACACCTGGCCGCTATAACCATCTCTCACAGGGCTTGGGTTCCAGGCCCTTGTTATCCTCCGAACCCTTTCCAGCCTCTCTGTTCTGGGCCCCTTTTGAAGGGCGCAAGTGCAGCCTGACCAGCACAGCAAACCACGGAACAATTGCCTCCTGTGATCTGGACACAATGCCTCTGTTAAGGCAGCCCGATTGCACTGGCCTTTCGAGCAGCTGCAGCCCATATTCAGCATGGGGTTCACTAGTACTTGTGTCCTCACACACACTGACCCAAAACCCATCCTGTCCCCGTACACCTGACGTTTCAGGTACAGGACTTCAGACTTGTCCTATCTGCAGGTCTTCACGCTGGACCTGGCCGGTTCAGGCCTGTCACGCTCATGTTGAATTTCACTGTGGTCCTCCAAGGTGTTATTCAACACCCCAACCTTAGTATCATCTGTGAATCTGATAAGCAGCCCTTCCTCTAGGCCACTTTAAAAGGTCTTGAATGTCTGGGCCAAGACTAGCCCACATTTCTACCTGAGCAGGGCAGGTCCTGAAACCCGGCCCCTGGTTGTCCCAGCCCTTTTTATGGGGTGCAGCCACCACCTAACACATAAACCCTCCAAAGCCTGCTAAAAGAGAGGGGCTGGTGCAGCTGCGGGTGAGTCTTTTCCAGAAGCCCAGCAGAGCGGCAAGGACTCGCGGCAGCAGCCCAGCTTCCCTCTTCGGAGATGTGCCATCTGCCCCGTGCTTTTCTCCCCCTCTCAGGCACCTGGGGGAGAAACTTGGCAGAAGCTTTGTCTGTTTGTTTATTATTACATCAGTCAAACAACTCTTGGCAGGTAACACGATATAAGGAAAACAGTTTAAAACGTGTATGGTAGGCACAAAAACAGAATAACAAAACACAGCTCAAAGATAAAGCAGCCCAGGTGTACAAGCAGAGGTGACCCAGTTGCTGAAACAGTTCGGTTTTCAGCATCTTTCTGCACGTGACCAGGGAGGGGGCCACACATCCTGGACTTGGCCCCCTTTACCTACTGAAAGGGTTAGGGACAAACACCGGGGGCAGTTCCTCCTGAGATGACCTAACTGGCTGAGCTGGAACAAGCCGTCGCCTTGGTATCCAGGGGCCAAGCCACGTAGGCTCTACCAGCCAAAACCAGCACTTTAAATTTAACCTGGAAACCAACTGAAAGCCAGTGCGGGGTCTGTGGCACAGGTGCAACATGCTCCCAACTACAGGTGCCGGTGAGCCCATGGACTGCTGTGTCCTGGACTTACGTAGCTTCTAGGTGGCAGCCTTTGAAGACCCCCCTGGACCATTGCAAGAGTCTAATCAGACAGCAATCAGGTTCTCTTGGGCCAGGCCAGGTCCCTGTTATGGCTCCCTGGTGAGAGCAAGGGCCCCCAGGAGACCTCGAGCACAGGGGCCCCCAGGAGACCTATTTACCTCCCCCACCCTTCAGCTGGGGTCCGGAAACAACGTCCTGCCTTGGCTGAAGAAAGAGCAGCCAGGGAGAGCTGGCAATTCCACAAGGAATTAGACAGGCACTGGAAGAGTCGCTCTGGTGGAACCTTTCCCCTTCAGGCTTTTTGGTTACAGGGAAGATTCAGAGACCTTCAAGAGCGTAGGAGGGAGTCATTGTGCTGCGGGACCCACCGGCTGGGGGAGGGCACAGCCACGGGGGATGTGTGTGTGCGAGCCTGTTCACTCAGCCGGTCTTTCGCATCAGGGTTTCCATGTGGCAGAGCCAGGCCAGGAAGTCCTGGGCTCCAGGGTCTCAGGAGAAATCCACAACCCTGAGATGCAGCCCTCCAGGGATGTGACTGAACCACAAGCTCGTATACTGAGGGGGGAACCATTTCAGGAACCCCATTCAGTGGGTGGTTATTGATTTTCTTTATAAGATTTGCACAGCCACCCCTCTTGGAGCTCATCTCTGGGCAGCTCCCAACTGCTGCTTTCTAGACTTGAAGCCTTGTTTTTCTCAAGTTCCAATGGAAGCCAAGTTAAGTGCTGTGTGGAGCCCCCATTTTAAGAACAGAGTTTTCCTAATCAGTTCTGTCCATACTCTTCCCTGTGGGCAAGCGTAGCCACTCTAGGTTTACTCCAAAGGTCCCCCTTCTTGCTCAGTAGTCATTTGAGTTCCTATCTTACTCTGCCTGGCTGCACTGTGGTATGTTATTCTGTGGCATTTCAGCTGCAAATGAGGCTACAGTACCAGAGCAGCTGGGTCGGGCTGCAACGAGGAGAGCAGGAACTGGAGCCTCCCCAAAGCTCTGACTCGTTAAGAACCAGTCTTGGGGGCTGAGGGAGGGAGGGAGGAAGGCAGGCAGGCAGGCAGGCAGTTCTGTTAGAAGCAGCCCCCTTTGGGAGGTCCAGCCGGAGAAGATGGGGGGCTTTAGCCACTGGTTGCACTGGAACTAACTGGAACAGATGGCCAAAGGAACAGCCCAAGCCAGCAGCAGGGTGTTCAACTGCTGGGGCCCCTGAAGTTAAAAGGGGCCAGGGCTGCCTGGCCAGCCTGCACGCTGTCTGGTGGCCTATTCCTCTGCCCCCTCCCCACACCCCTGCAGGGCTTCTACCACAGCTGGATGAGTTCTTCTTCCCTGCTGCCTCCCAGTTTGCTGGTCGGGGATGCATGTTCCCACCTGCAAGTGCAGTTTTCCCAGGAGAGGAACACCTGGAGGCCAAGAGCAGCTTCCTGCCTCTTGTCCCAAGGAAGCTGTGGCTTGTCTGCTTGCAGGGTTTGTCAAGGCAGAAATGGAGACGGGTGAATACGTTCCGCATCTGTGGGCACCTGATGGAATTTCGAAAAGAATGCATTTTGAAACAGCTCTGCTTTTCCTATATAAATAAAGTGCTACAGGGACTTTATTTCATGTTACTGTTTTTTTTTCCGCCAGGGAAAAGTCTCCCACTGACCAAGTGGCCGGGCGTGCTTAGGCCAGGAGCAGGATGTTAGCTGCCTGCTCCCTCCCCCATGGGCAGGAAACTGCTTCCGGCCTCAAGTTGATGGGACTGTGGGCGGCCACTTCTGAAATTGGCTTCTGTGGTGCAGCTTCTTCTCTGCCACAAAAAGCCTTGCTTGCTGATTTCTGCAAAGCAGGCTGGTGATGCTGTGGCTCCAGGCTGGGTGAGTCTGTGCCAAGAATGGGCACTCTGTGACTCTGAGCTCTCGAAGGCAACTGTTCCTCTCTGCAGCAGAGAGTGGCTCAGCAGCAGTGAATTCTGTCTCTCCAGAGCTTGGAAAGACAGAGGCAAGGAGAGGCTCAGAACTATCTGCCTCCTGCTGCCCTGCAGGGCTCCTGGGAAGGGCAGCACCAGCCTTGCTGCTGGCTGGTGCTGGCCAAGCAGAGAAAGAGGGTCCGCTGTAGAGGAGGACAAGCAACGGGGCTGCCTGCCTGGAACCCCTGAGGATCTCTTTCTGAGGCATGCTGATTCTGCAAAGAGCACTTCATGCGCCCCTCTGCTTCTGCCACCTTGGCTCTGCGGCTCCCCTCCTCTTGAGATCCTGGACCATCAGGCCTGCAGAGCAGGATGGTTGGGCCTCCTCCTCTTGCTGGTCAGATGCCAGCTTTAGAGAATAGCCAACTGTCTTGGAGCCTTTGCCTCGGACAAGCAGCCCACAGTACCAGGAAGGGCTGGCACGTCTGGTGACAGCTGGCACCATGGTGAGATGGCCTTCACAGCTGAACCCGCTTCTCTGAAGCAAGCCTCAGTCCTCCCATCCGGCGTCACTGCGGGCCCTGCAGAGCTGCCGGCGCCACTGCGGAGCCTCCTGCGAGCTGCCCTCGGGCAGTGCTGCATCTTGTGCTTCACAGAAGGCCACTTCCCATTTTGCCTTTCCAGGTGGCTCCCAAAACCTCCCTTCCCCGACCCTCCACCTCTGCCTTGCCTCCCTCCATCCCCCAAAGGGAGCTCGGTCTGCACAGGAATACCCAGGGCTGGATGACCCCGGAGCAGCGAGCCCGGAGCCCCTCCTGCCTCCTCACCCTAGAACTGTTCTTCACCCCAGACCTGAGCAGCAGCCTGAGAACCCTCAGCTCCCCGGCAGCAGGTTGCAAGGAAAGAAACTCGTGATGCCAAAGACGAGCCAAGAGGGTTTTCCACAGCTTGGATCCAAGTGCAGATTCTAGGCTAGATTTACCATCCGTGTCCCTTTTACTGAGTAGCTGGATGCAAAGCCGACAAACCCTAATTTGTAATGCACTGACATCTTGTCGCTGTCCCCCTAACTGGCTCCTGATCTTTTGAGGTGATCAGCCTGGAGGCACTGATGATACGTGCAAGTCCAGGGAGGTGGGGGCCAAGGAGCTTTTGTCCAGTCAAAACCTGAGTTTCAGGTGAAATGGAAACTTCTGAGAGTCTCAGTCTTGGTCACAGTTTTTACAGTCTCTAACGAAAGAGTCTTGAGGTAGGAAAATGGTAGATGACAGCAGCAGCTGTACCCAACTTCTTTGGGGCTGTTCACAGGCTGCTTGTCCCCAAAGGTCTGGTGACTTCCATGAACCCCATTGCTAGCTAAGCCTGGACTGATCACCATCCGTTTCTGGTAGACCAGGCTCTTGCTATGCCCCCAGGCTCTTTGATTGCCACCAGGATCTACTGATATCGGGTCCTTCCCTCCCCTTCAGGTCCTCCTGCCAGTTTTATCTGCCTCCATGTTCACCTGCCCCACGAGACTCTGTGTTCATCTCCCAGCCTCATTTATGGACAACCTCTCCCAGCAGCTCCACAGCAATGTTAAGCAGACTGAGGGGAGTCCTGGGGTCCCCGTAATGGGGTGGCCAGGAACTCAGCTACTCCTTTCTCCACATGCTAACCAAAGATGTCTACATAAGAAAGGCCAGAACTATATAAGCTGTATAAATAGCTGCTGCCATCACCACCATTGCCAAACAATACCGCCAGCCCCCAACCCTTGTAGAAGGCTCAGAAAGATCCATGGAGAACTGTATCGTGACCTGTTGAGGGATCCAGCAGGTTCAAAGGGCTGCACTCCCCCATTCACGTCCCACTGCAAGAGCAACCCCTCTGTCCCCATTCCATACCAATTCCTGCCACACCACCCTCCCCAACACTTCCCCTAAAAAGGGAAAGGTGGAGATGGGGGGCAGTTGTCCATAATGACTGGATCGATGGAGGGTCTTTGAGGAGAGTGAACAGCCACCGCTTCCAAGGCTGATGCAGCACCCCTCTTTCTTCAAGAAGCACCCCCCTTTTCATATCCAGCCCCTCCTCCCCTCTTGGGCCACATAACTGAGCCGGAAGGAGCAAGGATCCAGCCCACATGGTGGAGGACGTCTGAGGGCTTCCTCAACTTCAGCAGCTGTGAAGAAGCCTTGAGTTTAATTAAGAAGTGCAAAAGAGGCTTTAACATTCATCTCTACCTCTACAGCCACGCATACTCTAAGAAGCAGAAGCAGGCATCGTGCCAAATTTCAATATTTTTTTCTTTCTGATTTACACCCCTCCTTTCCTCCAGGAGCTCAAGACAGCATACATAGCACTTACTCCTCATTTTTCCCCACATTCCTGTAAGGTAGGTTGAGCTGAGAGAAAGTGACTAACAAAGTCACTTGGTGAGTCTGAGGATAGACGTGAACCTGGGACTCTCCCGCCTTGACCCCAAACCTACCACACCACACTAGCTCTCAGCCTTGGTTTGGTGACCCTTCTTAACCCTGGGGTGGAGGGCAAGCTAGTTTAATTCTGTTGGTCTTCCCAGGAGAGGACTTGCTTTTGCATGCAAAGTGCCCAGAACAACAGGATAAACCATCAATTTTACTTAAAATCTCACCCGGCTTGCTTCTGCATTTGATAAACCTGGTTCTGCAGAAGGAAGATAAACAAACGATTGCAGACCCCTGCTTGGTCCTCTCCCACCTTCTGCACTGGTGCCCCCTGCAGGCCAAAGGACGCTAATGCAGGGCCAGCGTCTGTGAGAGAGACCCAGGTTTCGCTCTTCGAGGACATCTGGAGAGTGACTGATGCATGTTACAGGATGGGAGAAAAGCAAAGCTGGAACTGGGCTCCAAACTCCTTTCCTCTCTTTTGTTACTATTGCTGCCATTATGAAACGTGCACGCTGTCGAATCATTCAGACTCCCAGTGGCTTGCAGGATAAAATACAATAAAACGTCCATGTAAGGAAAAAAATATGATAATTCATCCATGGTAAGAAAAAAACCAGCAGCTGCACAACTTCAACCCGCAGCCTAAGTAGGCCTAAGGTTCTAGCCAAACACTCTCCCTAGGTCAGGAAGAGCCCCTGGAGGCTCTCCTGTCTCAATTCCTCTTCAACCACTCAACTGCATCGCCTGCCACCGTCCCCGTGAGAATTCGGAAAGGCGTGGCTTGGCCCTCGGCGGCTTCAGCGGGCTAGATCCCAACCAGCCACGGCGATGGTTTTATTGCCAAAACGCCAGCCTTACAGAGCCTCGGAGTACATCACCTACCTTGCACAAGCCACGTGCACGATGCACACAAATGCACGCAAATCCCTTCTAAGGAGAAGCAGAAGCTGGGGCAAATATGACTCCCCCCACCCCAAGGCGGAGGAGGCAGGGGCTTTGAACCAGCGGCTGGAAATGTACCGCTGAAAGAGCGGCGGTCCTTGGACAGATTTAAAAGCGATCCGCTGAACTGGTAGGCCAGGAAGGAGGGCTAAGCTCCAGACAGGCATTTTCCGGAAGGGCTGAGGCCTGACTTGGGAGCAAAGGTCCCAGCCTAGTACTAAACCCTGCCGAACCCCTCCCTCGCTTGGCAGTGGGGAGGGGGGTCCTTTCTGGATGGCCTCTTCCTCCCCAGTTTTCCTCTAGTTCTGCTCCACAGGTGGCCTCAGAACCCAGCGGGAGAGGGATCCTGCTCCGAGGGTGGGCAAGGGAAGCGTCTTTCCTGGGGACACGGTCAGTTCCCGCAAAGGCGCAGGCGGGGCATCCCTGCTCTGGGACTCCCAGCGAGAAGGGCCGCCCCTGAGCGTCTCCCGGTGGAAGCTCTCGGTCAACGACAGCGGCAGTTTGGCTACAGGACCCTGCGGGACTCTGGAAGGACTTGGAGCGTGAGCGCCCCCTGCTGGGCGCGGAGGAAGCAGCCTGGAGCCGGCCGGCCTTCCCGCAGGGTGGGGGGCAGGGCTAGGATCCCGGCGAGGTCAAGGGCCAAATGCTGGCCCTGCTGCGGGGCTGGTGCCCCAGTGTCGTGGCCTTCGCCTTAGAGGAGGAGGAGGAAGAGGCCTCCCTTACGAGCCACAGGCATCTCCTCCTGCCCGGTCTCCTCTCCCGCATGAGCCTGGCCAGCTCACTGGAGGCGGTGCCTAAATTTGTTTCATCAGATTACAGAGGGGGCAGGTAGAGTTTCCCAAGGCAAATAATGCGGGTGCGCAGGTCGGCCAGGCGGCTTTGAAACCACTTTCATCATGCCCCTTTCCACATCTTGGAACCACTAAGTCCTTCAGGCCCTTCCTTCCGCTTTGATCTCTCCCCAGACACGCGCATGCACAGCAGAAGCCAGGCCTTCGCTCCATACAATTTTAGGTTGGTCAGCCCTTGCCAGCCTTTCAAGGTAGCCCAGGTCAGGAAGCAGACACCACAAGGACTGCAGGAATGTTGGATCCGATAACAAAATCTCAAGCCCCTGCCAGTGTTTCTCTCTGCCCCTCTTATGCCAAACAGAATCCAGGCAGGGTTATTTTGAGTCTCTTCCTCACACCCCCTCCTTTCCCAAGCTGGCTGAATCATGGCCGACCTTTTCTTCATGCTCCTGCATACCTTGGTCAAGGCAATCTCTGCGCAAGGCCAGGGTGGGAATGGCAAGGGGATCGAGGATGAGCATCTTGGGGAAACACTGCTCCCACCCCGGCCT